ATGTGTATAAAATAAACTTTATTCTCAAGAGTTTTCTAAATCCTCATCCTTCAAGGAAAACTAACACATGCTTCACGGGCTGATGAGCAATCTGCAGACATTATTCTGACTTTTTCTTGATCCCAAGTCTTTGCCATTTTCCTCCAGTGCTGCTGGCATCAATCACTAGAAGGAGGGGGAGGAAGGGCAAGGGTCAGGGCTCTTCAAGATTATCACCGAATCTAGGCATTGGCGTCATTTAGAGAGTCATCACGTTTGCATGTTGGAGGGCTGTGATTTCCACAAACTACCCGCTTGGAACAGCTGTGAAGTTTGGTTTTCAGAGATGGAGCCCTTGGGCTTTCAGATTTGGGTTTTCATTTTTTGTTGTTGTTGTTTCAGTTTTTTTCATCAACTGAGGAACTGTTTGGGTTTATGCTTTGTTGAATTAGACAATAACTTTTCAGAGTTCCCAATATTAGTTGTTATCTGAAACAAGGAATAAGAAAAAAAAAAAAACAACAAGAATCTTCTCTCAGTTCTTGCTGGTACCTAACTGGGGCTGGCGAGGGGCTAGGTGGTGACAGATGGTGGGTGCACAAGGAGTGCAGTTGAGTGGAGAAGCTGTGGGGGTGAACTACCAGGGACAGACACAGGGTCCCCCACCTCAGGTTAATCGCCCTGCTCAAAGCTGCTGCAGCTGTGTCAGTCACACCTCCACCCACCTCCTCAGCCTCAGTTTACTCCCCATTGTATTCCTCTAGAGGAAAATTAAGATCTTTATACCACCCAGGAAGAGATTTGCTTAGCCTCAGACATGCACATTCAGAAACAGCTTGTTATAGGAGAGAGAGAATAATTTGTAGGGAAACCAGCCCCCACCCCTAAATCCAATAGGAGGGTGGTGCCAAGGGAAGAGTCCTGTAACGTGAAAGCCAGCAGGGTCCTTAGACGCCATGCAGGTAAGTTTCATCTTTAGCCATGAGAAGACAGTGGTATCAAGATGTTGAAATTAGTTAAAGCCACATGAGCTGCAGGTGGAAAACCTGGTACGGAAGTCCAGGCCTTAACCCTTTTTCACTATGTCAGAGTTGAAAGGCTTCAATCTGAAGGGAGCCAGCAGGCCCCAGAGGCTGTTGGGTGACCTTGGCTGGGACAGAAAGACTCATGTAAATGTTCTTCTAAAGAGATAAGGTGGGGTACAGAGAAGGACTCATCACAAAGAATAAAAAACCCTAGCAAATAAAGAGCCAGCTTGGGCTGATCCAGTAGAGACCAACATTCCACAAACTTAATTCTCTACCTGGATGCTCCTTATCAGCATTTCCAAAAATATTTTCAGTATAACAAAGGTCTCAAATGAAAAGTGAAACAGTACTTATTTCTCATTCTTAGGTGTTCTTCATCAGCTAATCTTTTCCACATTTGTGTTCAAAAAAGTTTGACAGTTGGGCTGGGGCTGTAGCTCAGTGGTGAAGCACTTGCCTTGCATATGTGAAGCACTGGGTTCGACCCTCAGCACCACATAAAAATAAATAAAGATCCTGTGTGTTCATCTACAACTAAAAAAAAAAAAAAAAAAAGTTTGAAAGTGCTGGGTGTAGTGGTGCACGCCTGTCATCCCAGCAGCTGAGAGGCTGAGGCAGGAGGATCTTGACTTAAGCCAGCTTCAGCAAAAAGTGAGGCACTAAGCAATTCAGTGAGACCCAGTCTCTAAATAAAATACAAAATAGGGCTGGGGAGGTGACCCAGTGGTTGAGTTCCCCTGAGTTCAATCCCTGGTACCAGTACACCATGATCAGAATATCACTTGGATGTTGTAGGTTTAAAATTCAAAACTAAAACTCTGAATTTACTGACAGAAATTTAGCAAACACATAATCCTGGGATATAAACATTTCTCAAGAGAACATTAAAGGCCTTAATAATCAAGGCTGTGAAGAACTGACTGAGCCTTGAGGTAAAAATTGGCTCCGTGTGAACCTCTCCCTTGCAGGAGGGGTTGACAGTCCCTAGTACCATTGTACCATTCGTTGATACAAGGAAATGAAGGTCACTTGTCTGTTGCACAAACACATTTAAAGGATCTCTGTTAGTATCTCCTTCATCCTTCTTATATGAATCAGTCTTCTAAGTCTGAGGCTTATCAGATTGTGTATGTTTCAAAGCTTCTGGACAAACTATCCCACTTTTATATTTGCTGGCAAAACACAAGTCAATGAGCACAAAGAAATTATCCTCGGAAAAAGAAATCTAAAGGGTAATGTTATTTGAAACATACCAGTTCCATCTAGGTATTGTTTCTATACTTGTGGGTCTACAGAAACCTCTAGAATGGAAATTTGGCCTGCATGGAAAGATTTTTCCAAATTATGAATAAATAGCAAACTCCTATCACTGTTTCCTTGGGTTGCCGAAGAGTAAACATGTATATGGCTGCAGTCTTGCTCACAGATTTGCTTCCCTACAAGAGCAGAATTCCTTGCCTGAGTTATCTCAGTTCCCAAAGTGTGGGACACAACATAGTTTTTCTATGCAATACCAGGTGCCTACTAACATATAATTTTAGAACAAAGTTATGCACCCAGCCTGATTACTATTACTCTGTGGTATTCATATGGTGAAAATGTTAATAATTTGAGTTTCATGACTTTAACTGGAGAAAAAAAGAGTTATAATTTT